TGGTTGTCATGGTTATCATACATGATTCATCGGGCAGTTTATCGGGTACTATAACAAAATATGATACTCGTAAATGGTTATAATTACATGGTGATTCACACACATACACATTCCTTACATATGAAATAGTTCACGAGTATTGTATCATACGAAATTTAATCAAATACACACAGTACACGAGTATCAGGCACCAAATGAATAAAACAAGTCAATTTAATCTGAATATTAAGATGCTGATACATGAAGTGAACATATGGATACTGACTTGTTTCATATCTAGAAAAGATACACTATACTTGATATTGTCATTGATAGTGGAGGGAGAAAATTTTCAGTTTTAGAGACAGTGTACTTTTCACTGGAGAGATAAAACTAAATGGGACTAACACTGCATTAACCGGAAAGAACAGTGATATCTAAGAAGTTGTCGTTATAAAGCATAACCTGCTGTAACTTATATATGACATATCAAGAGTAAATTTGATGTATCCAATTTTTAATATTCTTTTGATATAAAGTTTTCAACTGTGAAGACTGAAATATTTCATTAGTAGGCACTTTTTGCTGAAATTTTCTTAACATTTCTATTTTAGTACAAGTTGCAATTAAAGCACACGTTATCATGCGATGTGATTGTATGGCCTGGGGCAATAAGTAACACCTTTGAGACATTGATTATAGTTGCTTTGAGTTACGTTGTACTTTGTTTGTATGAAAACAAAGGCATATCAAATAAGATGTTTGTGCTAGAAGAATCTTATTGTCAAAAAGCTAGAGGCCCCTACTTTTACTTGTATGGTACTGATCTAAATTAGATTATTTGTGAAAGAAATAATTACACAAATAAATAAAGTGTTTGAAAATGAATTGGATGCTGGATTATCTATTAGCTTGTTTGTTTTTGTTTTTAATTATGCACAAAGCTACACAAGGGCTATTTGTGCTCTGCCCACCACGGGTATCGAAACCCGGATTCTAGCGTTGTAAGTCCGCAGACATACCGCTGTGCCACTGGGGGGCTATCTATTAGCTTCACTCAAATTGTGAACTGATTGGGCTGGCTCTACTCCTTCAATATATATTCCCAGACTGCATTTGCAGTTTCATCTCCTTCATTCATAGTTAGAGGGTCTAGCGGGGTTAAGGCGCTCGACTCGAAATCTGAGGGTCGCGGGTTCGAATCTCCATCACCGAACATTCTCACTCTTTCAGCCATGAGGGCGTTATAGCGTGATGTTCAATCCCGCCATTCGTTGGTAAAAGAGTAGCTCAAGAATTGGCGGTGGGTGGTGTTGACTAGCCGCTCTCCCTCTAGCCTATCACTGTTAAATTAGGATCGGCCAGCGTAGTAAGCCCTCGTGTAGCTTTGCGCGAAATTCAAAACAAACCAATCGTAATTAGAGTCATGCTCAGTCTCCATAGAATTTATAGTGAAATATTCATATGATGTGAGTGATAACTAGTTAGCTGTGGTCGCCATTGGAAAATGAAAGAGTGGGGGTGCACAACTATGTACTGATCAAATGTGAGAAACTTGCTGGACCAGGGCATGAAAAGGTGCTTGAGGAACATTTACTGCAGGCAACATACACGTGTGTATATGTATGCATGTAGAAATATCTCACAATAGTTTGGGCACTTCATGACTTAAATTTGCTTTTATAATTGCAACCAGGGAATTGCAGCTTTCAAAGCTACACTTCTGACCAAAAAGGAAATCAGCTTCACCAAGGATTTTTAATTCTGACTTTTTTTTTAACTACTTTAACTATCCAGGTAGAGTAATCTGAAACTGTTCTGATTTCTTGGCTTTCCCTAGTTTTTCTCGTGAGCTATAGAAGGTTACATTGAGGGGTACTAATAAGCACTGTCACTGACGCAGAGCCTGTGTGTAGAACAAAACAAACTTTATTATTTGACAAACAAAAAGAAAACGCAACATATTTAGTTGCGCATACGAAAAAAAAACAGTCGCTTCTATTAGGCTGTGCTTAGTCCGACAGCTTTCTTTCTCTTGGGATTGAGCTCTATAGTTTAGAAAGATGATCAGATTATCAAAATTTTCAGACATTTTCAGATACGCATGCTTTGAGGCGCATATGTAAAGTTAAGCGTTAAATCAGTCTTTAATTGCAGCCAATAGGCTAACCAATCCAATAGAACGTAACTGTTATAAAACTTTTATAATTATGCTGCACAAGTATCAATTCAGTGGGTTGCAAACAGTGTTCTCTCTAAGTTACACGGCCGCACAACAACCAAGTAAGTGCCGCGCACTTCGTTATTCTAGCCGCGCACATCCTCAGTAATGATGAGGAGTCTCAACACGTTGAAAGCCTTAATGACCCGATAGGCCCAAAGCCTAAATGACTAACTGGTAGCATTGCAAAGCAGCCTAATGATCCAATAGGGTCGATGGTCTAAAAATACCCCCGCCCCTAAAATAAACTGGTAGCGCACGTCCGCATACTACCTTGATACTGGTGCACATGAAAAAATTAATTCCGCACATTGACTGAAAAAAATAGAAGGAACATGAGTTGCAAAATGAGAGACAATGTGTAGGTGAACAATGTTTATTGTTTATTCTTTTTTTTTAACTTGTTTTCTAGACTAAACAAATTATCCCGCCAGGAGGGGCTACTGCCCCGGTCCTCTACTTTTCCGGTTTCTACCCCATATTCACAAATTTACTGCTGTTTCTGTAAAAAGTTTCATATTTCAAGTTTTGGGGAAAGCTAATAATATCAATACTTATATTATTCATATTCTCACCTCAAAGAGTTACATCATGTGGTCATGCCTTTTAGTCACATGTATTATTCATAATTAAATAATACATTACTTGTAAGTATTTTACAACAAAACAGAGAATTATACTCAAAACGTGCCACCTGGTACATTCTACTATAACATATCAGTATAGCATGCTATTGTAGAATAGTGTGTATAGTCTCATAGTCCTCACACAGAATATCAGCATTGAGTAAACAGGAAAAGTCCGTTCACAATAAACTATACCAAGTTCTTACATGAACGCTCT